CACGGGGCACTGGGGCTGAGGTTGCCAAACTGAAATTGGAACTGGAAAGTTTTTTTGCTTGGCTCTTTCAAGCGGATGCTTTCTTTTATAGGGCATGGATGTTTTCTTTTTTGTGGCATAGAGGTTTTCTTTTTCATGGCACTGGGGCGGAGGTTTTCTTTTGCACGGGCCAAACTGCCAAACTGAAATTGGAACTGGAAGGTTTTTTTGCTCGGCTCTTTCAAGTGGATGTTTCCTTTTATGCGGCATGGAGGTTTTCTTTTGCACAGCGAATGTTTCTTTTATGCGGCATGGGGGTTTTCTTTTTCTCGGCTCTTTCAAGCGGATGTTTTCTTTTTTGCGGCATGGAGGTTTTCTTTTACACAAGGGATGTTTTCTTTTATGCGGCATGGAGGTTTTCTTTTGCACGGCACTGGGGTGGAGGTTTTCTTTTACACGGCACTGCAATGGGGTGGGGCGGAGGTTTTCGAAGTTTTCTTTTGCGTAGCATGGCATTTGGGACCAGTTGGGACTGGAGGTTTTCTTTTGCACAGGTTTTCTTTTGCGAAGCATGGCATTTGGGACCGGAGGTTTTCTTTTGCATAGCACGGCATTTGGGACCGGAGGTTTTCTTTTGCGTAGCATGGCATTTGGGATCGGAGGTTTTCTTTTGCCCGGCACGGCATTTGGGGTCAGAGGTTTGCGGATGTTTTCTTTTATGCGGTGTTTTATTTTATGCGGCGCGGAGGTTTTCTTTTGCACGGCATTGGGGGGAGGTGGGGGAGGTTTTTTCTTTTGCACTCCAAAAGGTGGAGGTTGTCTTTTACACGGCACTAGGGCGGAGGTTTTCTTTTGCGTAGCACGGCATTGGGATGGGGCGGAGGATTTCTTTTGTGTAGCACGGCATTGGGATGGGGCGAAGGATTTCTTTTGAGTAGCACAGCATTTGGGCGAAGGTTTTCTTTTGCGTAGCACGGCATTTGGGACGTGGCACTGGGCCGGAGGTTTTCTTTTGCGTAGCACGGCATTTTGCGTAGCACGGCATTTGGGACGCAGCACTGGGCCGGAGATTTTCTTTTGTGTAGCACGGCATTTGGGACGTGGCTCTGGGCCGGAGGTGGGATGGGGCGGAGGATTTCTTTTGTGTAGCATGGCATTGGGATGGGGCGGAGGATTTCTTTTGAGTAGCACGGCATTTGGGCGAGGTTTTTTGGCGAAGATTTCTTTGCGTAGCACGGCATTTGGGACGTGCCACTGGGCCTGAGGTATTCTTTTGCGTAGCACGGCATTTTGCGTAGCACGGCATTTGGGACGCGGCACTGGGCCGGAGGTTTTCTTTTGTGTAGCACGGCATTTGGGACGTGGCTCTGGGCCGGAGGTTTTCTTTTGCGTAGCACGAAATTTTGCGTATCACGGCATTTGGGACCTGGCACTGGGCCGGAGGTTTTCTTTTGCGTAGCACGGAATTTGGGACAAGAGGTTTTCTTTTGAGTAGCACGGCACTTGGGGCCAGAGGTTTAGGGGCCGGAGGCATGGTTTTCTTTTACGTAGCACGGCACTTAGGCCGGAGGTGGTTTTCTTTTGCGTAGCACGGCACTTGGGCCAGAGGTTTTCTTTTGCGCAGGTTTTCTTTTGCGCGGCATGGCACTTGGGGCTGGAGGTTTTCTTTCTTTTGCACGGCATGGCACTTGGGGCGGGAGGTTTTCTTTTGTGCGGCACTGCGACTTGGAGCCGGAGGTTTTCTTTGCCGCGGCACTAGCACTTGGGGGCGGAGGTTTTGTTTTGCGCAGCAAAAGCACTTGGGGACAGACGTTTTCTTTGGTGCGGCAAAAGCACTTGGGGACGGGGTTTTCTTTTGGTATCAAGTTTTCTTTTGCTCTGATACCATGTTAAAGGAAATTTTATTTTGCTCTGATACCATGTTAAAGTTCGAGAGAGCATGCACACAGACATTGAGAAGAGAAAAGACTAATACCATGTTAAAGTTTGAGATAGCATGCACAAAGATATTGAGAAGAGAAAAGAGATAGCACAAGATTGTATAGGGAGATAACACAAGATTTTATGTGGTTCAGGCCGAAGACTGATTTTATGTGGTTCAGGCCGAAGACTTACGCCGACAGATCCAATAACTAATTAATCTACACTATTTTTGATAAAAGATTACACAAAAAGCCCTAACTGGCTACATTTCACTATTTTTTTATAAAAGATTATACAAATACGTGCCTCTATATATAGGACAATCACAATGAATCTTGGAGATAGAAGAAAATAATATGAGGCTTATCACCAATAACCAACTTGACTAAGCAATTTGATTTGGTCTATCTTCAACACTCCCCCTCAAATTTGTCTATCTTCAACAATTCTTTTTATATCCATATTTTTTTAGCTTATTTGCACTTTTTATATTGTTTTTGGTTGGTTTTATTTTTACCATTTTTTATTTATATTTAAGCAATTTTTTAACTCTTTTTATTTTAAGGCTTTTTTGCCCAATAACAACTTGTGTGAATTCCGAGTAACTTTGCTCAGGCCAGGCTAAGTCCGAGTCCGAGCCAAGTTTCTAAAGGTTGGTCAATCGCTATATGATCTCAGTGCCTTCCTCTTTTTTCAACTTCGACCTCATTACCTTCTTTTCCTCTATATAATGTTTTTCAATTTGTGCATGCCATCCTTGTGTAGGAGAATGGCAATGATAAGCTCAAGTTATTTTTCCAAATTGCCATAAATTTTTTATTTTTTTTAACTATGGTTAACCGAAATAAGGCCCTGCTCCCAATCTGACAAAGATTCACAATACAATTTGAAAAAAGCTTGCGTAGAATGAAGGGAATACCCTTTGATACGAAGGTCACAAACATCCCAGGATATAAAATCAGATAGCTCAATATGAATTTTTTTCCACCCAAAGTTTGCAAAAAATATTTTTAGACTTGAGAGCGACTAATGGCTCATCCTCAACCTATCAATCTTACATCTAATGACAATAAGTTATCGTACTAAGCTATCATGCCAATTTTGCACCAGAGGCTCTTAATAGAGTATAATGACAAATCAAAATTCATGTAATCGACCCCAATTAACTAAAAAGATAACTACATTGATGATGATGACCCATTTTGTACCATAGGTACACTATAGTATGCATCACATTAAGAAAATGGATAAAAATATGCTTACATCAAAACTTCAAAATCCAAGAGTGACAAGATCGATGATACACGTATTCTCAAAACAAAATTCATGCACTCTTTTCACTATAGAGGTCTTCCAAAAGAAATCAAAACCTAGTAAAAATAAGAGAAATTATCATAAATATACCTTAATTTTTATCAAATTAAAAAAAACAATTCACCTTTCATAAACTTTATCCACACTCTTTTTCTTCAATTTTGGCATTTAAAATACTCCGAGTTATCACTAAATTTAAAATGCCATATAAAATTGAGAGCCATTATGATACTTAATGCTAAAGCTTCACAATAATACGACTACTATGAAAGCTATTTTAATAAATAAAAAATTTAAAAAAAACTTAAAAAAAAAAATATGGATAATATTTATGACAGTTGAAGGTTTTTTTCTAATTTGGGAAAATAAAGGTATATTTTTTATTTTTTCCCTAAAAATAATAAATGCATTAATAATAGAGTCACCATAAACAACTCCTAATGCCACAATTATAACATCATAGTCCAAACTACATGCCAAAAGACTCAACAGACTACAGCGAGATTTGTATTCAGGTAAGGAGCATGCACTCATGTCATAACTCAAGGAGCCAATGCAATACACAACCAGTTAGCGCTTAAACCATCAACAAGAGCATACAATCAACAATTCTGTACCATCAGTTTGAGGCTCCTCCCACAATTTTCACAAATAGTGCCTTTGCCCTTAAATCAACAGATTGGCTATGAGAGAGAGAGAGAGAGGCATAATTTTACAAAATTTAGTGGGTCGTCAAGGAGCCTAGCGTATCATCTAAACTAGATGATCCTGTTCCTGACATCTTCAAGCTTCTTGAGGATCTCGCCTGGGGTTCTATCGAGTTCGTCTGCAATTTTCCTCTGCAAATCTGGGGCGAGCGTTGGGAATTGCTCACAAAGATCACCATCAATCACATCCTACAAAACCACAACTTTCAGTTCTAACTATGATAATCTATACAATATCTACTACCAAGATAATCTATACAATATTTACTAAAGATAGGTTTGGAATTGCATTAATTCCATTAGAAAAGATCTCTCCCGTACAGTATCTTATGTGTTCGTACCCACAACTAAAAGTAGAGGGTTTTCATAGAAAATTTAATAACCATATCAATTACGAATCAGACATATATAAATGTATATCATTTTAGTAGACATAGTTGAGGCCTCCTACCATTCAAGTTTCTTCCTAGTTCCTCTAATCATTTCAAAAAAAAAAAAAAAAGATCCTCCTAGAAAGCAGAGTTATTAACCTTGTATTTTACTTCAAATGGTCAAACCATTTATTCTTGGTATTTTATTCCCAAAAAGTCAATCCATCTCTCTTTTATTTGCGTGCCAATCCATCTCACAGGCTTGAATCCTAGTCGTTTAAAGTTTGGACAGATGCCAGTGAACAATTCAAATCATGTTATGTTTCACTACATTCATTGTTAGAAGTTCAGAGAGAAGAAAAAAAAAATGGCATTAACACAGAACTTTCAACTTTTGGCAGAATCCAATCCAAAAAAAGTTCTCTCAAAATAGAAGACAGGTGCCAGTTCAAGAAAATAATATTTAGATTAATGAATCATTGTTTACTTAAAAAATAATTTGGAAAGATCATTAAAAAGAAACTAAGTGCCGAAATACATAGGTGCCTTCTCTAATTGGTAACTAATTAATTTTCACTCCATGTTACTGTTTGTGGTGTTTTCTTTTTTGAATCCAAAAGAACAGTACAAGGGTTTTCGCTGAGTAGTTTTTTTTTTTTCTGTTGGTGGTTTGGGATTGGGGGTGGGGTGGTGGGTTTGTTTTGCTAAGTACAACTTCAACCACCTGAAAAGACAGAACAAGAAAAAGCTGTACAAAATAGCACTACGGATCAAAAATATCCATATTAAAGCCATTGTCCAAGAGAAGCTCATGCAAACTTCAGTGGCTGCAATACCACTGAACAGTTTAGACAAGATTTTATTTCCCAAAGAACTTGAAAGACAAAATATCTAAATGGGCAGACAAATTCCACTCTTCAGCCAGAAGCTAATCCAACAAGATTTTTAATCAAAATTTGAGAAGAAAGGTGCCAGCAAAAAATAACATAAAAGAAAATAATCACTATACCTTCATGAAGTATGCAGAGTTTTTAAGTGGTCAACTATGCAGAAATTTTTGACTCCACAGGATTTTGGGTGGCATTTCTTTAACCAAGAAAATGATGAATATTTTTTTCAAAACAATCAAAAAGAACATAAAATGCTTTCACTAATTGCACCAGACACAAAGGAAATCATACCTTACCAAAAACATTAAATGGGGAGAAAAGAAAGTGCACACTACATAAAACCCAGAAAATCCTTACCTTAACAGGGAAATAAGCAGATCGATAGGCCATATGGTCCCTTCCACAAAGAGGGGGGTGTTCCTGCCTCATATGCATCTCCAAGTGCGCAAAGAAGTCAACATCTTCTCTCGAAGTGAAGGCAAGCAAAGCTCCCAGGCTCCCCATAACTGTGCCATAAATGATGCACTCACCACCACCAGGAATTAGTGATGCCTTTTGAAGGCAAGTCACCACATCACCCACGTGGAACTGAACAATCTCTTCCATTTTGTTAGGAGCCCCATTAAGCCTTCCTTGCTCCCACTTGATCTTTCCACCAGTTGGGTCTTCTTCAATCTCATCAGAAACATCTTGTGGCAACCTCACAAAGTAGATGTTCCCAAACTTGTCAGATCCTGCCATTGTGTCGAAATCTATGTGGTATGATGCGGTCAACCATCGAGGGACAGAATCATCTGCGAAAATGTAGAGTTGGTTCTCGTCCCTTCGGTATTTTACATAATGGAATGACTGCCAAAGAACCATTGGCATGAGGATGGATTTATAGTTTAAAACCATCAGACATGCAAAGCAAAAAATCATAAATTTCTTTTTCCTTCTTTGGAAAAATCACATTAAGATTAGGTAAAATATGAGCAGAAATAAGAGAATGAGATTCCAATAATGCACCAATAAAACAATGCCTTTCATGATTGCTTACGGCCAGCACTAATGTAAAATTTCAACCTCCAATCAGGTAGTATAAATAGAGTGCACATGGTACATCACGAATTCACGATTTATAAAGCCCAAGGGATAATAAACCTGAACCGGTGATGTGTCCACATGCCTCTCTTCCCTTTAATTGTATTTAACCAAAACATGGGTTACACCATGGTAGGAGGAATCATCATCTTCAAAATGAGACACTTAAAATTGAGACTGGATGAAAACAAGTAACATTTGAGCCATATGTCAAGCTGAATTCATGGATAATATAGTTCACACGTGATGGATATCTAAAATATTAAAAACTCAAACAGGACACTGATTATAAAGTTAACAGTTATTATGCTATATAAATACAAAATTTCCAAATGTGAGAGAGAGGAGCAGCAAGATATGACACTGTGACCAAAAAAGAGTGAGCAAACTCACTCTTCCATTTGGGTGCTGTACCCATGCCCCACATGTACTGACACACATACCGACAGATTCTTTTGGACACTTTTCCTTCTCACTGCCCATTGACTACATCTTTCTTTGTTTTGCATAAACACATGAACTTTGAGAACATGTAAGAATTTCAACCAGGGGATAATTGAGGTTTTTTTTTCAATACTCGTCATGGAATAGAATATTAGCATATAATGTTGGATGGTTATCTCTTAATAATACAGACATCAAATCTCGTTCTTCATGGAGTGGGGAACCCGGTGCCCTGCGCTTGTCTTTGACACTTGCACAAGTATCCGCGTCCATGCAACACAGAAGGTCGACCATATATGTATTCACTGATCTAATCAAGGAACATCAAGTCTGCAAATCCAAAAAATAAAAATTCATGACATGCATGTCGACAGAGATTTTCTGTGTCTGTATGCATGTTTTGGGGTCGACATGCATGTCTAGTGCAATGGCGTGCCATTTTCTCCTGAACACACACAAAATGAGTGCCATTGTTATATAAGCACCAAACGACATTGATGCATCCCTTAGTGACGGGGAATTCAGAAGGATCTAAAGTAGTGGGGTTTGAATGAAGATAGATATCTTGGTAAAGGAGGTGAACTACATAAAGCTACTAGCAATGATGGACCTCAGCCTCATAGCGAGAATTTAAAAGGATCATGTAAGTAGCAAGGTTTGAAGGAGCTAGATACTTTGGGAAAGGAGATGAACTACATAGGGCCACTAGACATGATGGACCTCAGACCCCTTGTTTCATAAACTCTGGAACGTAGTGGTGATCTCCTAGAAGTTTTGGATTTCTTTCACTGCAAATCTAAGACAATAACACGGCTAAATGCTGCCTCTACTATCCATTTAACCCACATTCATAAAAGGAGAGAAACTTTACGAGCTATAGGATGACAAGATTGGCAAGTGAGTTCATCAAACATGTTGTGAAGTGTATTATCCACAACGCTAGAGAGCATAATTCCACTCATAATTCAAACGAGCCAGGGGGTTGGTAGAAGGTAGACAAATCCTAGATGGGCTTCTGTTGGCTGTCTAGAGTCAGTTACAAGATTGATCTGATAGGGATTACAACCATGCGCATAAAAAGTTTATTGCAACATATTGGTCAACACATACAGAAAGTCGCTGATGTAGTTAACATTAAAATTTCAAATTTCAAAATGGTTGCTCGGATCGGACCTTAACCAAGAAAATGAGAAAGCCTTGTCATTCACAATCAAACTGGGCCTTGACTTTTATCGTCTCTCACTCTCTCATGCTCAAGGAGCTTTGGTAAGCTGCAGGCAGTTTATAACACAGCCTAATCATAGGAAATGCCATTAAGGCAAATTAATAATTCCACACTGGGACTATGGATAAAAAATGGTATCCAACAAGTCGATAAGATAATTTAACCCTCTAGATGATTTGAATGTGGAAATAAAGAAATGAAGAGCTCATCTTTGATCTCTCACTACGATTTCTGGTACCAATTTTGCAAGGAATATTTCTAAATACTTTAAAAAACACCAAGGAGGGAAATTTTCTTATGTGGTATACAGTTATGGATTGTTGTAGCTATTGAAGCTTCAAGTTTTGAACATGGAAGGACGTTAGCAATACATGGGACTCTGGGAGGAGGTGTTTGTTTTTGGTCTTCTAATAATTGCTTGTATTACCACTACCAATACACGTTATTTTATCCAAAAAAAAAAGGATTGCTTGTGAATGAGTAAAACCACAAACATTCCCTACGAATTAGGGGTTAATGCTTTTGTATGATTTTCTAGGAAAGGGTCGATGATTTTGTCCTCTCAGTAGATCACGCAATGGACAACTCAATTGTTGAGATGGGTGTTATTGAAGGATTAATTTTTTTTGAGAAAACAATTGAAGGATTAATTAGCAAGCAGCATCTGAAACAAACTTGCAGATTATAATGAAAAGAAGAAACTTACAAATTATCAATGATTTAGTTTCATGGCTCTGTTAGCTCAATTTGAAGGTTGCAGTAGGAAGTACGGACAATCCCAGCCCAAAGATTCAGTTCGGATTTGGATGATGGCAACAGGATTATCTTGTTGCAAGGTACATCCTTTGGGCATGAAGGAATCAAGTCACCAACTATGAGATAACATTCTCTCTTTCCATGTTTTCCCCTTTTTGTGACATATAACGGGGCAGGAATGGACCTATGAGATAGTTTTCAACCTTAGGCTTCGGTTCAAAATGGCATCGCGTGTGCCCTTTTGGAGATAAAAGGGAATGCATTAACCACATAGAATGGCTAAAGGTGCCAACAGTCATGGAGAATTTGCAATTTGCTTGAAGAAGTCATGGTCATATGAAATTCTATTAGCACTGATTGTATTGGTCAGGGGTAAGAGATGTTAACCCAAAAGTTCTAGTCTTTTATCAAGAGTTTAACCCAACGTTTGCTACAGTTGCTACATTGAGAGGGAATGGGTTAGCAAAACTGGTTTTCTTTGGTGTTCTCCACTTTTTATGTTTAAACATAATAAAATATGAATACCATCTTCATGATCTTTTCAGAAACAATCTAACGGCCCCACAATCCTAAAAAGAAGAGTATGATATTGTACACATTCAAAATGAACATTTTATACAGTACAGTGTATTTGGGTAAATGAATTTTTAAATAAATTAAAATTCATGTCCAATATATAAATGATAATTTTGCATTTGGATTCTGACAGTTTTTAAACAAACAATATTAACATCCTTTATCATAATGGGAAAGAGTAAAAAAGATGCCAAGATATTCAAAAGCTCAACGA